TTGTGAGCAGCTTATCTACACGGTGGTCTTGTGCTTGCATGACTTTTTGGTTTCTTAACAGCAGCTGCTGTAAGAAAATATGGAAGATAATATCTCATTAGCAAGCAGTGATCAAAGTAAGTTTGATTATATGGTCTTTTAGTGTCTGGAAGAAACCATATAAAGCCATTAGGCAAGCAGGACTTGTCTAGTCTGGCTTTAGGTCAAGCCTTTAATATTGATACATAGCAAAAGGTCAGGCTACCGGTCCAGAACCTCCTATAATCTCCTTACCCCAGAGTTTGTTTGTTTTCTCTCTGTTGCTCACTTAACAAAGGTACAACATTATGGAATTCCAATTCCAGCCAACAGAAGCCTTGAGCCGATCAGGGCTCAAGCACAATTAAAAATGTTAGAAAATATGCATTCTGCAGCAACTTCCATGTACATAATTCATGCCAAAAGTAAGAAGACACAAAGCAATGGTGCTGCAGTCTGTTCTGGTTAGTTACCTGCTTCAGTAGAAACTGCCTTTAGAAAAAAATGCTGTAATTTACTAACACAATTCCTTTGAAAAGGAGAGGTAGCTGTGCTGGCCTGTGAGGAAAAAAAAAAAAGATATTTTCCAAAAATCTGTAGTTGGTCAAAATCTTTATTGAATCTACTTCTATGCTGAACCCCACCCCCTACTACTGAGTAATACCTTCCCTTCCTGTGAATGGGGCAGTGTTCTTTCTGCTTCTTTCACAGAGAGGTGGAGAATTTCAAAGAATTTACTGTCTGGAGAAGAGATCCATTTAAGTATAGGACGTGGCAGAAAGAATCTTTTTTCTGTTCCTTTTTTCGAAGAAGACGATGCTCCCAATGCACTGTTCCTAGCAGAGAGTATTTTGGCCATCAGTATTTTCTCAAAGGGATGCAAAAGGGATGCAAGTGGCGCAGTGGTTTAAACCGCTGTGCTGCTGGGCTGGTTGATCGAAAGGTTGCTGGTTTGAATCTGCACAACGGGGTGAATTCCCGTTGCTCTGTCCCAGCTCCTGCCAACCTTGCAGTTCGAAAGCATGCAAATGCAAGTAGATGAAAAGGTACCACTTCGGTGGGCAGGTAACAGCGTTCTTCGATGTTTAACGGCCCCCTAGAGTCAGGCATGACTGGACTTCACGTCAAGGGGAAACTTGACCTTATTTTCTCAAAATGCTCAAGAGACCCTAGGACTTTGCATAGTCCCCTAAGCATTCAGCAGTGGTCACCTGGCTGAATGCCTCTAGGCAAAAAGTTTGATGCTGCTATGAGCAAAATGGGGACTTAGGTGTGTTGATGCTATGGTTGTTGAGCTTCCAGTCCAAATGGGGACTTAGGTGTGTTTGGCCCAGGATTCTGAGGTGAAGGGCATAGCCTTTTCATGGGAGGTATAACATAGCTTAGTAGAAAAATACAGGCTTTGTGTCCCCGTTTCATTCCCTGGCATGACCTGTAAAAAAAAAAGGATTAGATAGCAAATGATAGGAAAAACTCTGCCTGAGACTTTGGAAAGTTGCCTCTAGTAGTGTAGACAGTGTGGAACCAGACAGACAGACCTGCCTATTGTAAGACATATATTTCTATGCACAGAACAAGAGGTAACTTGTGCCAGGCTTCCGCCTTCTCAAATGTGTCAAGCTGCAACTCCTGTAATTCCCAGCCGTCATGGCCATTGCAGCCCAACACATCTGGAGAATGCCAGGTTGAGAAACCTATCTTTTAATGGTAGGTCAAACTTTTTACTTCTGATATTGATTGATTTATCAGTTTCATGGGGAGGTAGCTCTCAGTAGCAGGCACTATATATAAAGTTTTGATTTATATTTTTGCCTTGTGAACATCTACAAAGCCTTGGATTCCTCTCAGCAGCAAGAGAGAAATTGATCACGACTCTTGGGCTTCAGAAAATAGATTAGCCTTTCAAGGTAGCTTTTAGGCATGGTTCTTGTGATGAAGGGGCTCCATGTTTTTAGTATAATTTTGAGTATCTGATGTGTTCCGTGGAATAAAATCAAAGCACCCTGCTTAATTTGGGGCATTGCAATCAAAGAAGGTTCAGCTGTTGCATCTCTCACCATCATTTAAGTTTAACTTATAAGGACAACCTTTTAACATTGATTCTGTTGTGTGAACCCCTTTGCTTTTGCAAGTGCTCAAAATCTGGAACCTTATTCTGAGCACTCTTACTCAAAAGGTAAATCTTATTGACTTGAGAGTCTCCACTGAATTGCATCCTACAGCCCATATACTTACTTGGAAATACGTAAGTTCAAATGTGATCCATGCACAAGTACCACGTCACTATATACAAGATTATACCCTTAGGCTACAATCCTGTACCCATTTATCCTGTACTAAGTCCCACAGAACTCTGAGACTTGCTTCTGGCCAGACCTGCATAGTTTTGCCCCATAAGTCAAACAAGAGCTGATCGGGTAACTCAAGAAAGGACGGGGCTGAACATTCCCAGCAAAAATATCTTCCTGCTTCCACATTTTGAATAAAAATCCAATGAAGTCCTTCAGAAGGCTTGCCGCTGAACAATGCTTTACATATGCAAGCAGTTAAGGTAGAACTCTGAATGCTTCACTGATTTCCCTGGGGTTTCACTGAATACCTCATTCTCTTAGTTTTTTGCTTATAAAATGTGTGCCAGTGGCATGCACATGTGGTTGGGGAATTTTCAGTCTGGTCAGTCAAGTAATCTGTATTGCATCACCAGAGTCACTCACCATTCAGAGGCATTGGAATCTATAGGAAGGGAAAGATCAGGAAGCAGAATACCACCATAGGTTTCAGTTGTAATATCATTTACGGAAGGACATTCCTGCTTCTTAAAGCCTTAAGCTTAGTTCTAGGCCTTTAGGTCAGAAGTCAACAGCAGAGAGCCAGTGTGATGTAGTCATTAGAATGCTGGCCTGGGACTTGGCACTTCTGAGTTCTAGTCCCCACTTGGGCCAAACTTATTCAAGCACTCTCAGCAACCTGAGAACCCAGCTTCAAACATTTTCTCTAAAACTACACAGGGCATGTATTGTGTGTCTGTGAATTCTTAAGGCTTTTTTGTGGCTCCTTATTCAATGCTGTGACACTCCAGTGTCTTCACCATGGGCAACCAGGCTAAATCCCACCCTCCTGAGGTCCCAGACTGGCTCCTGGGGGATATCCATGTCCCTTGCCCATGGCTCCATTCTTTCCCCCTCTCTGCCAGTCATTTCTGGTTCCCCAGATCTTGCATTTTGATCCTCTTCCAAAAAGTTGGAATGCTTCTCCTAAAATTACTGTCTGTCCATAAGAGCTTTAAGCTACACTGTGTTGGTATACTTTTTGTCCATTTGCCCTGTCCTTCTGCTTTTAACCCCACCCACCTTTGGGATTCACCCTCCTCCCCAAGAGCTTCCCCACTGTGGTCCCAGGCTGAAAGAAATTCCTCAGCTCTGCTTTAATGCATGTGTGTGCATCTACCTGAAGGGAAGCAGACCCTTTGAAGCAGTGGTGCACTGTGGGGGCAGTGGTTAGATGGCGGTTGTGTTTTGTCTTTCCATTTGCTTCCAGCTCTGATAAGCCAGCCCCGCTGTGTCTAGGGACCTCCTTGCTCACTGCACCGAGTCAAGACCTTGAGCTCTGTCCCCAAGATCTGTTCTGACATTACCTGGAAGGACCATTCACAGATGTGAGTCAGTGTGTGTGTGACAGAGAGAGAGAGAGAGAGAGAGAGAGAGAGAGAGAACAAAGACAAACTACTATTCATTGCAGCAGTGAGTCTCTGTATTCCTCTCTACCCAGCTTCACCCTCCTTATTCTGAAAGGAGAGGAAGATCCCATGGGGAAATACAAAACATGCTTGGCTATTTATTCCCCACTCTAAACACTTCAGGCTTCTCTACATAAAGCATTTATTGTGCACTTATGATTCCTCGCTCCTGATGGTTTGCAGGGACTTTATACGATAGCACACTCCTCCAGGGCCTCTCCTTTCCAAGCACTTCCATACCTTTTTCAAAATTATTTTGTAGAGCACGAACAGTGTAGTATTAACAGGAAATGAGGGAATGAATCAGCATGAGAGGCTTGCGTGTTTTTGCAGTTCTGTAGCTGTGAGAGGGAACATATAGAAATGCAAAGAAAGGAAACTCCTGGGAAGGGCAGATAAACGTGTAAAGAAGCCCATCTTAATCCTGCAAAGAACTGGGAAGCTGAAACCACAGTAAAGTGGTGGGTTAAAGGTCTCATGCAGATAAATCCATAGCCTAAGATGTTTGCACTGCTGCCAAGATCCTGGTCACAGGTCTGTGGAGAAGCCCACAGAGACCCAGAGCTCATGGAAGCAAGCATGTGAAATGCAGCTTCTCCCCTTTGTGATGCTGAAAGGCTTTCAAGTTCTGCATCTCATTGGTGAGATTGCTTTGAGTCTTCCTTTCTTGGCTTGGTTTGAAAGATCCTCCCCAAGGAGCACTAACCAAGTTCTTTATTTCAGCCACTGAGTGGAAAAGGGAGGAAACGAGTGTTGTGTAAGGTTGCTAAGAAACACTTGCAAGCTCCAAGACAAGGGAATTCACTTACTCAGAACAGTCCCATGACAGATCTGTAGTGTCAACTTTAGACTCCAGCTGAAACTAATCAAGTGTGTTCAGAAAAGATAATGGAATTTTAATCAAAATAAATTACACATTAGAAGCAGAAAGGTAAGCAAAATTGATTTTCAGTGGGTGAATAGTTTCTATTATTTCCAGGAACAAACTGTATTTTTTTTATATAAATTTGCTTGATTTTGTTTACTTTCCATCAAAGAAAACTACTCTCTTTCTCTGCTTTTCAAATGATATTCCACATCTAACCTGTAAGAAATAAAAATGAAAGCATTGCAACTGGAGCCTGTGATTATCTCTCTTGTTTTCCATTTGAACCCACACTGACCTTCCAGAGATGTTAAACCCATAACTTGAGCTACCTGGCACAGCAAGAATGATGTCTGGAAAAAGAAATTCTGGAAATACATAAAAGCCAAGCAGAGAACCAAATTTGGAAATGTATTGATTTACATTAAAGGTCATCAAACATGAGTAACGGATCTTCTGAGCCAAGAAAAGCCACCGACCCCTTTGGGAATCAGTCTCTGAACAGGGCTGAAGATCCTGGGACAGTGAAAAGCCCAGAACAACTAGAAAACAGGCTGACCAGCCATGATTTTATGAAAATGCAAGCTCTTTTCAAGGTAAGTACGCTTCACATGATTGGAAGGCTTTTGAACTGCTCAGGAAAGATCAGTTCCTAGAGCACAAGGAAGTAAGAGGGAAGAACAATGGTGCCATATTAAATCATGGGTTAAAATGCCCAGCACTGTGTGGCCATAGTCAACTGACATATCTTTGTATATTTTTTTGCTACACAAAGAGAATGCCAGAGTTCGGTTAGTAGGTATGCTTAACTTATATTAGAACACTGATCCGCAACTGCTGGATGGAGAGGCACAAATGGTTTGCACCTGAATCCAAAATAGCTTGCCACATGAGGCATCATCACAATTTTTCACTGTTGTTGTTCTTGGTTTAACAGAGACTGAAACTACAATCCTATGTATGTTTCCTCACGCTTGAGTCCCATTCTGGTCATGGCTCTCACTCCCAGGAAAGTGGATACAGGATTTCAGTCTAGCCATGTTGCAGCCTCCTGTGCCTCTGCTAGTTCAGAAATCCAACTTGTGCTGGAATGTCTTTGTGAAGGTCATCACTACTCCATTTTCTTTCTCTGAAGGTCCTTGTATTCTTCCTTCCCCACAGACTCTACCTCTATCCACACACCCCCTCAGTCTGTTGATCCTTACACTCACCGCACAAGGACTGCTACATGACTACTTTTACAAAGGGCTTCCCCCTATCGGAAGGGCTGTCTTGACTCTGTTTGAGTCTGACTTAAAGATCAAGGATCATAAAAAGTGAGATCAGGAGCATCCTCGAAGTTGCTCATCACCTGTTAGCAGCTGGACAGCAGAATGCCTAAATATGTATTTATGGGTATAAATCAGCACATGAAATTTTTATGTAAATCTCATAAGTGTAAGATTCTAAGTGGCCACAGAATCCGCTGAAATACCCTTAATACACTTCTTTTCTCTTTCTCATTCTCATGCTCTCCTACAACTACCAGGTTCAAACAATCACCACAGCTCACATCATGGTTTAATTAAGATATGAGCCACTGTGCCTGCAGGTACCAAGTTTCCAACCCCATGACTTTGAGGGTAGCTTGTTAAGCATACCAACAACCTGCCCTTCCTGGGTTTGCATGACACAGCATGCCACAGTTGTGACCTGAGCATTCAAAGTGGTGGTCCACAGCCACTGCAAAGCACGGGACATTAAGTAACCTAGGGTAAATTAGCATGGTGTGCCAACAGGCCCTGAAATGGCTTGAAGGTGTTCCAAAGCACTTTTGAAAAGCCAGGGCTTGCAGGAGATGCCATTGTCCACATGTGGCCCGTGAACTGCAGGGCTGTCCACTGAGAGAGGTTATTTTCAGCGGTGGGGGTCTGGCCCTAGAACGTTTGAAATGACCATTCTGCAGTCTGTTCCCAAACAATTACCCTCTTTCATGAAAAACCAGAGTCAGCTGCTTAAAACATTTCAGTTTATGTTTTACAGCTTTGTGCCTGATCACTGTCAATGAGCTGAGACAATGGTGATTTGTGGCTGGCTGCTTGTGCTAGAAAAATCCTTCTGCCCCAATTTGATATGGAGTTAAATGCATTTAAGTCCTTTGATTTCAAAGGCCATAAGCCTAAAAGGGTCATGTATTGCAGTTACTGCCTTGCAAAGATTGCTGCTGGTTCTGTGATAGCTTGGGGACAGGACCAAATTACCTCCCAGTCCTGTGAGTGCCAGCTAATGTTGGGAGTTCCTTCCAGTACTCACGGGACTGGCTTTGCTCTGTGTGGTTTTGGGAATTCTGCACATCAGTCTACACAGGGAAGTTCCCTCCTATCTCGGCTCACAGATGATGCTGGGGTGCCTCCAGAGGGCAAGACTTGGAGGAGAAGCCCCTCCTTTTGCGGGAATCCCACCCTGCTGGGTAGGGAAGCTCCCTGGGCTAGATTAGGCTGGGCAGGAACAGTTGTGTCCTATCCCTATTTTAATCTCAGCTGTTTGTTTCTAAAGTGAGGATAATTTTAAGCCAGGCCTTGTCTAGATTCATCTCATCTCAAGCCATTTCCAGTGGCAGGGTCAGCTCTACACATACCACATAATGCTCTTAAATTAGCTCGAGCATGTGCAAAGTAGTATTTCTTTACCACTTAAGGACATCTGTTAGCCCCAGTTTGGGATTAAAGAAATACTCAGAACCATGGTGTGGATTCAAGAAAGTCTATCATGGTTTGAGTTAAGCTAAAAGAGAAATTTCAGTGAACAACTTCAAATGTTTCCTGGATTATGGGCAACAGCTGGCAGAGGCTGTTTCTCCTTGACAGGTTTTAACCCAGCAGGTTTTTTTTAAAGCAGGATCAGAGAGGAGGATGGCAGATAGTCTGTAAAAGAAAAAGTGGTGGAATTTGTACTCGAAGCATGCTTGGAGCCCAGGGGCTGCACCTATGCAAACAAAAATCGAAATAAATTAAAATGGCTGCTTTCAGTTCAACCTTGCATACTTGCACACACAAATAAAAATGGCATCAATTTATTTGAAATAAACCGCAAAAGCCAAAGGAGCAGAACAGCCTGGAACAAAATTCTGAAGTTCACCTCTGAGCTAGTGCTGTCATGTACCCTCAAATGGCAGCTACTTAAATTGCTTCAGTGGCTGGCGAAAAGTGGAGCTGGCTCATCTGCCCTGCATGCCGGGCCCAAATGGCCCACCAGTGCCCTTTGTTCTAAAAGCAGAATCTACCTTCAGAGGAAGCTTTTACAGCCTGTGGAATTGCAGCCTGTTGTGTTGCTGTAATGGGTCTCTGAGCAGTCCATGTGCAAGTGAGAGGACTTTATTTCTGGTTTTGCCCTCTAATTTTGGCAACCAGGTAAGGTTAAAAAGCCCATAAAAACTCTGGTTTGATGAAACCCTCGTGCCAGGAAATGGCTCCTTTTCAGAGACCATTTTATCAACAGCTCCTAATCTCCTGTCCTCCCTGTTTTCTTCCTGATTGTGCTTCCGAAGTGCCAAGTGAACAGGTCAGCATCCTCAAAAAGACATAGATTTTTGAGTAAACCACACAGATAAATTTCTCATCGACAGAGTGAAAACAAAGAGATTAAAGAACGAACCATTCAGAACTGCAGCAAAGCCAGTTCAGTTCTGCTGCAGTGCTAATTTTAATATTCCAAAGCAATGTGCAAGATGCTTGGAAGAAAGCTGCAGTGCTGGTGCCAAAGTTTAAAATTCTTTGGCTGGGGAAAGTAAAGTTGTTCGGCTTGTACCACTTGGGTGTCTTGCAAGCTGGGCATCTCCCATGATAAAAGTCTTGCTTATCTCAAGGCCACTCTCCCCAAGTGCTGAGGCAGGCTCTGGGAATTGCCAAGAAACACAGGTCTTGGGTAGGGGCATGGGAGAGGAGCTCTCAGACTCAGATGGACCCGATATGACTCTTGACCCCATGAAGAGGCATCAGGAGGGGAGGGAATGCCAATTAGAGGATGGGTACATAAAAAGGAGTCTGGTTTCCTTTCAAATGGGCCTTTCGGAAGGGATGGGGCCAGGCGTACCCAAAAGAAAGGTTTCCTGAAGTAGATTGGATTTAGATTCCGTTCAACACACTGCTGTTCATGCACAGAGATGCGTTCTGTGCAGGTCGTGTTTGTTGTGTATCCTTAGGTGCATGAAATGCTTTTGCAAAGCAACAGTCTGTTGCCTTGAATGTCTGAAGGGAGGAAAACTCGTCTCATAGCAGCTTTGTTTCCTAGTAATGCCTTTGGATGGTATGATGCGGCTTAGGGATGTTCTTAGGAGGAAAACTAGCAAAAGGAGCTTTTTGGTGTTTAGCTACCACCTCTGGCTAGTACGCACAGGCATTTGAGCAGGTTGCATGTCCCTTGCCATCCCTTCCATGGGAGCAGTTTTGTGGTCCTGCCTAGGACACGTTCTCAAAATGCTCCCTTTGCCCCCAAGTCCCCACAGTTTGCCCAGCCTGGTCTCCACTGATTGACAGCAGCTGTCCAGGATTTCGCGCAGAGGCCTTTGCTGACCAACCCCACCCGGGGCCTGAATCCGGGACATCTACATGCAGATTATATGCTCCAGCACTTTCTTATTTTACATGTTCATGCAGACACTTCAGTGCCCCCTCAAGGTGAGAAAAGCAAAGGAATGCTTTCATTCCACTGATTAGTGTCAGCGTTATAATATTGTGTGATGCCGGGACTATATCCCAGATTCTCGTTTTGTTCACCGCAGTGCTATTGGCATAACTCGGTGCTCACACAAGAGGCCTTCACGGATCAGAGTTTGCACTAGAGGAGGAAGCGAGTGGCTCTGCTAATCAGGTTTTGCCTATTACCACAGTGCTGATGAGGACCATTGCGAGACCTCCTGTCTTAACCCACACATCAGTGAGAAGGAGGGAGGCCCAGCAAAAGCAGGACAAGCAGCGCTTTTGATCTCTAATTACTGCAGTGTGTCAGGCCTGTGGTTTAAATTAGGCCTAATTGAGGTGATTGCCATTACAATAGTTTCCCTTCCACTGGTTGCCCTTTCACTCCCTCTGTGAGTTGATCAGCTAATGGCACTAAGCATGACCCATACATAGTGAATTGTGGCTTGGCAGAAAATGACAGAAACATGCCTTGCATCTTCTTTTGGGTCATGTCCCCTTGACAAGGCAGGGCCAAAGAAGCAGTAAATCCATTTCCTAGCAGCATCATTAAAAAAAAAGAAAAAGAATCTCCAGTACTAATGCCACTTTTGTATTTTTGCAAAGATCTGCAGCAAATAAACTCCCATTTCTGAGTGTTGACAGAGAATGCAAATTAGCAGTTCCTCATGGACAGATGAGTTTCAGATCACCTACAGGGCTCCAATTCATACCATTCTTCCGTTGCCAACTTTCTAGGGGAAAAGAACTGGTGGAACATTGGGGGGAAAATGTTGTGAGCATACAGTAATTAAAACCCACTGCTCCAAAAGACATTGCTTATTCCAGAGCACTGTAAAATGTCAACATTGGAAACTAGGGTTGCCAACTTACAGGTTGTTGTATCTTTAACAACGGCACAGCAAGCATAAAAACAAAGC